TTTTAATAGCTATTTCGCCAATGTAGTTTCAACAAATCACCGTGAAAATGACTTCAACGATCATCCAAGTGTAAATCTAATCGCTAGCAAAATGCTGCTAGATCAGTTTGTCTTCCAGCCTGTGAGCTGCGGCTATGTTCGTTAAATCTTAGACAATCTAAATCCCCGGAAGGCTGTTGGCGTAGATGGAATTTCACCGCGTCTCTTAAGGCTCGCTGCTCCCATCCTAACGGAGGAGATAACACAGCTGATAAACTATCTGATTATGAACCAATCATGGCAAACCGAATGGAAGGGTAGGAACTTGACACCTGTATTTAAAAAAGGTGAGGATACACGCAAAGAAAATTATCGTCTTTCCATTCTTACCGCCATTTGTAAAGTGCACGAGAAGGTTATGTTTGACCAACTGTAGGGCGCTTTCCATGAACATCTTTCTCCGAATCTATCTGGGTTATTGAAGAAACACTCTTGTTGCACCGCACTCTTGAAGATGACTGAGGACTGGGGGCGACGCCTTGACAAAAGGGAGGCAGTTATAGCCGTGGCAGTGGACCTGTCCAAAGCATTTGATTCTATTAACCATAACTTCCTATTGGCTAAATTAAAAACGTATGGCTTCTCTCCGTCTGCAGAAAAAAAAGTTTTCTTCCGATTTGTTGGGGCGAAGACAGCGAGTTAAGCTGTCCGGTGTTTGCTCCAGCTACTCAGACGTAATGGTGGGCGTCCTCCAAGGGTCCCTCCTCGGACCGCTGTTGTTTAACATTGATATAAATGACTTGAACTGCGCCATACCGGATGTACGTCTAAGGTTATACGCCGACGACACAACTATGTATGCCTCGGACGTCTCGCCCTTGGTTCTCGAATTTGTAGTGAATAATGGTCTTGAGCGGTTATCATCGTGGTTTGGAGAGAATCATCTGGTGATCAACAACACAAAGACGCAAGCAGAACCCATTGGTCCCTTTAAGTACAGTTACGACCTGGCCATACATAGCACTGTCATTGGGACACTGCCATGTATCAAAATACTTGGCGTTGAACTTGATAGCATGCTATTTTTCAAGGATCACATTACTAAATAGCTTCAAAAGGTATACGCTAAAAGTGGCGCACTTAGGAGAATCAGGCGTTTTGTCACTGGCAATCTTACGTTAAGGCTCTATAAAACTTTCATCCTCCCTCATTTTGAATACTGTTGCCCACTATTTCTTGGATTGGGGAAAGTGCAAGCGAATCGGCTAGAAGATGCCAACTAATACATTCTTAGATTACTTCTAGGTTATCGCAAGTCTACCCTTTATGATGAATTGCTGCGAATCTTGAATATGGAAACGTTAGACCAGAGAAGGAAGCAACAATCCCCTATTCTGTTATATAAATGTTTGCATAACGACGGTCCCAAAGATATCAGAGTTTCTTTTTAGTTTTAGGGAAACAATCTGAGAGGAACCGGCATGAATTTGTACGCACCGAAATTTAATTGAAATTTTATGAAAACATCTTTCATTTATACGTGTGCGCAGCTGTGGAATGGATTACCTACAAGTGTAAAACTGGCTGATAATATCANGTAAGCATGGCATCGGCCCAACGGAGGAAAAAGTCAGAGCAGTTGCAGAGGCAAGTCAGCCTCAGACACCCTCAGAAGTCCGTAGCTTCTTGGGGCTCGTTGGATTCAGTGCCAGGTTTATACCCGATTTTGCTACCACTGCTGATCCCCTCAGAAAACTTGCAAGAAAAGGGGAACCGTTCGTTTGGGGTAAGGAGCAGGAGCAATCGTTTCAGAGATTGAAGAGTCAAGTTGCAAGTGCACCAGTCCTAGCTTACTTCGATAAGGACACACCCACCCGTGTTATTGCTGATGCAAGTCCTGTTGGACTTGGCGCCGTGCTGGTGCAAGAAAAGAATGGGGAAAGCCGTGCCATCTGTTATGCTAGTCGTAGTTTGAGTCAAGTGGAGCGTCGTTATAGTCAGACAGAAAAGGAAGCACTAGCCTTAGTCTGGGCTTGTGAACGCTTCCACCTCTACTTGTACGGGCTTCCACAGTTTGATCTGGTGACAGACCATGAAGCACTTAAAGTCATCTATTCAAGGAAGTCTAAACCTTCAGCCAGAATAGAGCGCTGGGTTCTGCGTTTACAACCGTACAACTATCAAGTTTGCTATGTGCCTTCAAGAAAAAACATCGCAGATGCCCTTTCCCGACTGACGAAGATACCTGCTTCAGACAATTCCGCGGAAGATGATGGATATGTACGCGCGATAGCTCTACATGCTGTCCCTGCTGCATTGAGAATCAAAGAGATTGAACAAGTCTCAGCACAAGACTCTGAGTTGCAAGCACTCAGGAATTGTCTCATCGAAGGGAAATGGGACAATGCCCCAAAGCAGTATTTGCCAGTGCGCAATGAGTTGACTTTTATTGGGCATGTAATTCTCCGGGGGACAAGAATTGTTATACCCTAAGCACTTCGCAGGAGATTCGTCAGTTTGGCCCCCGAGGGGCACCAAGGAGTCATAAAGACAAAGGAGAGACTTAAAACGAAGGTATGGTGGCCTGCTATGGATCGTCATGCCGAGAAAAGATGTGGAGAGTGTTACGGGTGCCAGATGGGTACAAAGAACGTTCCACCCCCACCACTGAGGTCAACAGCATTACCCAACCAACCATGGGAAGAAGTAACTGTGGATCTAATTGGTCCGTTACCTTCTGGAGAACATTTTTTAGTTCTCGTTGATTATTACAGCCGGTGGATAGAAGTTGATGTTATCCGAACAACTTCCAGCCAAACCATCATCCATTGCTTGGATGCCCAATTTGCCAGACATGGGTTGTCTAAAGATCTGCGTACCGACAATGGCTTAAATCTTGTATCTAAAGAAGTAGAAGATTACTTGAATCAAATGGGGATTGAAGACCGTTACACAACACCTCTATGACCAAGAGCTAATGGTGAGGTAGAGAGGCAAAACAGGTCGCTTCTGAAGTCCACGAGAGCAGCCGAAGGAGAAGGAAAGAGTTGGAGAGAGGAGCTAAACAGGTTCCTTTTGGCGTACAGGTCCACGCCACATTCAACCACAGGAAAGATGTCCTACCGAGTTATTGTTTAAGAGAAAGCTAACAACTAAAATGCCTGAGCTAGTCAATGTTGAGGAGGAGGAGCTAGAAGTGAGCGATCAAGCCGTCCGTGATCGGGACAATCAGAGAAAGCAGGCTAACAAGGACTTTGTGGACAAGACGTTCCATGCCAGAGATCGAAATGTGAAAGAAGGAGACAGTGTTCTGCTTGAGAAGAAGAAAGAAAATAGTCTGTCACCTTGCTATGAGAATGAACCATATCAGGTGATATCTCGATAAGGGGATCAGGTGGTGTTGCGATCGCCTCAAGGGGTCCAGCACAAACGCAACCTTCAGCATATTAAGCCCTTCAATATGCCAGATGTAGAAGAGCAGAAAGCGCCACCAAAGAACGCTGAACCACGGACTGAACCTAAGTCACTTGAGACGCCACCTATGGCAAAGGATCAAGAACCAATGGCTGAATCATCACCAGAAGATGTACCTTCTACTGTACCTACAGCTGAGCAGCATGTGAGAAGATCCGGCAGAATTACGAGCCGTCCAAAGGCTCTGAGTGACTACGTTCTGTATTAAAACTAGTGACATTGGCATTTTAATATTACTGTTCGTTGTTATTACATAAGTGACATTGAAACGTTGTTTTATGAGCCGAATGGCAAAGGCTATGTTTGTGTTTAGCGTGACTTTTGTCTTGAACATTTGGTTTTGAACTGAACTTTTACGGTGTCTAAACAAACTGGAAGTTTGTAATGTTTCTGTCTTTCGAGGTCAACTATCTAAGCGAAGAAAGAGAGGGAATGTAGTATGCTA